CTAGCAAGAACAATTCAGGGTTGAAGGAAGAGTGGGAGAATAATTTTGTGAGTGAGAGCTGAGGAACTTAAATTAAATATTCTTCTCAGTTCGTCTCTGCTTATGGTTTGTTAAATGATTTGTTTTCTGTCAGTAATAGTCCCATACTAATATGGAGAAAAGGCAAGAATACCTTTAAAGGTACTCTTGTTAAGGTTTAAAGGAATAAACCTATTTACCATCTCTGAAGTCTTTGTGTACCATGTACTCGGTGCCAATCCTTTATGTCATATCAGTGACTGACGAGGTTTGCCAGCCATTTACAACCTGCACACTCTCCTGGAAATAATTATTGAGTAATGTATACTTTCTGGAACTATTGTACCTATATTTTTGTCATCCCTGGATTTTTTTTCTTTTTCTTAAAGGAGAGACTTTTTCAATCTTTTCAGTAGCCTTGTCCCTAACTTGCACAGTTGTTAAATAGCTTCAATTAATTTTTTTTTTTTTTGGTTGTCTGAAGGTTAATTGCCTTTACGTACGTATGTGTGTCTGATTAACACCTTTTTTTTTTTTTTTTTAAGGCAAATAACAAATGTAAATTTTACTGAACTATCCTGAAAGCAATTATCTGTAGGAAAAGCAATGTTAAAATCCTGCTTAGTACATTTGTGAGATGATGCACAAACTTAATATCTCATTTGAAAGGATTTAAGTTCTCATTTATTTTGCTACTCTGAAAAAGGATTTCAGCTTGGAGTGATGTACAGTGAGTGGAAGACCCACCTGTAGAGAACAGTAATTTATGAGACAGCACATCTCGTGCTAGAATTTTTATCAGTGATGCACATATTCCATATACCTAACTGTCCGTATTCTGTCTTATGTTCTATTTTCATTCTGTAAGCTGTTATGCTTTATGACTGTGCATACAGTTTTTCATCTCTACAGGCCTTTTACCAATGCCATATGACAAATACAGAGAAAATATATAGTTACTTTTGACAAAAGGGGGCAAAGCTATTCTTCATCAGAATTTAAAGAACTTAAGCTTTTATATGCAGAAAGAAAACTGTGGAAGCAGTCTTTGTCTCAACAGTTCAGAAATTGTGGAACTCCTCCTGAGGCACTTTATTCCCAGTACATCTCTTCCTGAAGTGCAGCTCTTTTCCCTTTGCTGAACTGCTTCCATTTAACAGACAGCTGGTGTTAGGTGAGAGAGAAGTGTCCCTACCTGCATTGAAATACTGGCACTCTGGGGCAGTAGTACAGGGAATGGGCAATTTCTCAGTTTGCATGGCTGCAGGAATTGTAATTTACATTATACTTAATTGTATAGTTTCATGCATTCCTTCTCGGTACCTGTGTAAGGTGCAGTTTAACATGAATTTGTGTGAACGTCTTTGTTTTCTGTCTTGAACTAACTTCTGTTGAAAACCTAGAGTGGGGAGAAGCTGTACCTGATTCTGGTTATGGATTGAAGGGAAATGCAGGGGTCCCGCTATCAAGACAAGAGTGTGCTGCCTGGCCATATGGCATAAAGCACAGAGATAGTATCAATTCAGTGTCCCTTGAGATGTGTTCAGGAGGTGATGACACATCAATTTTGAGGAGGTAGGCTTTTTGCTAGTTCAGATTTGTCCTGCTGCAGACAGTAGAAAGATAAACATAAGCCCTATCCAATTTGGTTTATTATGTGAGGGTGTGAATTTTTTTATTCAGCTGGGTGGCTAACTCTTCTGCTTACATAAATTGGGAAACTGATCCCACTGAAAACTTCTGACGGCTCTTTTGTAACGAGTGTGTCTGGCTGGACACAGAGAAACTTGCTGTCACAAAAGGAAGAGTACCAATGCACAGATTTTTGGGGGCTGAAAAGGAAAGAACAGGTCTGTCCTTCTCACAGAACCAGGAGTGAAGATTAGTATAAGTCACTAAGACCTTGGCTGGTCTGAGAGATGAGGCTGTGTGCCTGTTCAAGTTTATGCTGTTACATATTGCCAAGAACAGATTCTGGGCTGGCGCATTAGGATCAACAGTATCAGAGCCAGTAAAAGGCAGTTTAATGTGAAACTGCCAATATTTCTGTGGTTTTCTATTTTCATTGTTGGTACAAAAAAGCGCTAAAGCACGTGTGCAGTAGACAGTAGTACTCTAGTCAACAAAAGGAGAATGGTAGTAAAACTTCTGCTTTGTTATGCCCCATTACGTAGCAAAGACAGTTGTTACAGTGGGCACCATTTGCTACAAATCCGTTTAGTTTCACAGTCTAAAATTCACGAGCTGAAGTTGTTTATTCTCATCCTTCCATTTCTTAGAGCTTCAGAAGCTGTTGATAATAGGTAAAAGAGTCACTGTACGATCACTGTCCACTGTCTCCTATACAGTTAGAGCTGACATATAGACTGAGGGCCACTTTCTAAACCTCTGCATGAGGCTCATAGGAAGGAAAAATTAAGTTTCCAGAAGAGAGAACTTCTGACATAGAAGGTTGCTGAATTTTACTGCTTGTTCTACAGCAGGAGAGTAATCAAGAAGAAATCAAAGAAATAAGGGGCTTAGGTTTAAAACCAGATTTTGCTGCTTTCATGGGCATTAAAAGACGTACCTGAGTAAGGAAAAATGTGTGAGAGAGTTCATTTTTTCACTTGCATTGGTAGATTCCAGTGAATACATTTTTGTAGTAATAAAATTGATTAAACAAGAACGTTTCCTCTAAGGATTGAAGAGCAGTTTTTTCTTTTCCTTGGATTCCATTCTTAATCACAAAAAAATAATAAAGAAGTTAAACTAAGACAAGTGTTTGCATTGAGACAAATTCCAAGATTTGTTTTGTTTTCATATTAAGGCTTCTGAAAACAAAATCTTGACATTTGCTAAGGGGATATTGGGTGACCAGCATTTGTTGGGGTTAACTTGTAGCAGTGGTTCACAAAAATTTGACTTTGGGCCAGCAATTGCCTTCCGCATCCTGTAACTGCTATCAGTTTGTTTCAAAACAGTTGTTAAAGTATCCTGAATGATTTCATAACATTGCTTCTCTGTTAAACCCATTGCTGTCACTGCTCCAGAAACGACGGGTGATTACTAATGGCACTTTTCAATAGGAGTGGAAATTAACAAGAGGATATCCTTGTGGGCAAGGTCTGCACCATCCTGGTAGACAGTCTGCCCTCAAAGGACTGTAGGTCTTCTTTTGAATTTGCAGAAATCCTACAGACATTGTTCATGAACTTGAGAAGTGATTCTGAGTTCTCCCCTTGAAATCACATTGCCAGGTTACCTGCCTTGGTTTGAGGAGAGAGTGTGTGTGTTTTGGTTTGGTTTGGGGTTTTCTGATTTTTGGTTTTTGGGGTTTTTTTGTTTGGTTGGTTTTTTGGTTTTGTTTCTTTTTTTTTGGAATGACTTATCCTCTCTCATTAATAAAATACAGTACTGTGCTATCTGCTGCTATTTCACACATAGTCTCTTGCTGTGGCAGTGAACAAGATGGGCATCCAGCAATGAAGCAGAAACTATTTGTATGAGTATTGGTTTGATTGAAGTTACATAATTACTGCTTTTGTTGGGCATTAATCATTCATGAATAGAGGCCTTTCAAGGAAAGAAAAATGTGAATCTTCTTATGACACAAAACCAAATCTTTTTAGTAGTCAAAGTAGAAGTCTAAGAATGGTGGTGTTGTTTCTTCCCACCAAATTGCCTGTTCTAAACTGTTATGCAAGTGCAAGTTCTGCTTGGTGTGCAGTCTTAATTGTTTAGGAGCTACACATTTCTGTCTTTTATTTCTAAAACTAAGCAGTCACTCTAGCATATGCTGTTCCAAGAACTATAACAAGAGTAGTTTTGTGTTCTTGAACCCTTTCTTATGTAATTCTCACTCCTGAAATGTTTTTGTTCAAGTGCTGAAGTAGTTCTGACCATGAAACTTCTGGTGTTCTTTGCTTCCTCTGATACAGTCTCTTGCTTGTTTGGTGAGTGGGAAGTAAAACCTGAAAAAGAGCACCGAAATGGTATCTTCAGGCTGGTGAAAATGCACCATGCCAAGGGAAAGATACTGATAGCCACCATTCCCTTCTGAATGATTTCCTTTATTCACTCCTTCCATTTTTTCTTAAGAATTCCTTTCTTGACTAATTTCTTATTTTGACTCAGTTCTACCATATTTTTTAATCCATCGAGCAGGATTGTCTAGTCAGTGTGAGGAAGTTTCAGAGGTAGTTTCAATTTATGTACATACATCCATCTATTAGAGTTTCGTGCTGTAGTTTTGAACCCTTCTCTCCCCTTCAAACCTTATTTGTTGAATTTAAATCACTTCCACTCTGTGCATATAGATTTTTATATAGAGATTTTTCTTCCCTCTGCAGTTTTATTTCTCACTTCATTCCCCCCATTTTGTGCACCTCTTGCACTGACTGTTAAGCAGCACTTGAATAAATCTGTATCCAGAATCTGTGTTTAAACTATCAGCGTGCATTGTGATGCCTTGGCATGCATGTACAGTCACCTGGAATTTGTGACTTGTTTTTTCTAGAAGATAATACATGCAATTTTAAAGTCCTGAAGCAGTTTGAATGTCCAGTTAGACTGGAAATTGTCTTAAGAGAATCACAGTGTATGTAGGCTGTTTTGTAAAGACAGGCAGGGTCAAAGAAGGAAAGGAGGAGGAGGGCTTGCATTTTGTGTTAAGGAGAACCTTGATTGTATAGAAGTCAACTATGGTGATTGTGGAAGCCCTTCGGAATGCCTCTGGGTCAAAACCATAAGGGTTGTCTCCAAGGGGGATCTTATAGTAGGCAACTGCTACTGACTTCCAAACTAAGATGATAAGGCCAGCAAAGCAGTATTTGTGTCACTAAAGCAAGCTTCAGGTCAACAGAACGTGGTTCTTATGGATGACTTCAACTACCTAGACATTTGTTGAAAGAACAATACAGCAGCTCACATGTCATCTGTCACATTCCAGGAATTCATGGAGGACTGTATCTTGATACAAATGTCAGATGTGCCAACCAGGAATGAGACAGTTGCTGGACTTTGTGCTCACAAAGCAAGAAAACCTGCTTCGTAATATCTCAGTTAGTGATAGCCTTGGCTGCAGTGATCACGATATTGTGGAGTTTGTGATCCAGCTGAGCACACTGAAGGTTAGTCCTAGGACAGTGGTTTTAGATTTTAGAAAAGCAAACTTCAGCTTGGTAGAGCTCAGCTGGAAGTGATTCTGTGGGAAGCTTACATGGAAAATAAGAAGCTAGTCAGTGCTGAAAGTACTACCAGAACACTCTCCTGGAACCACAAAACCAGTTCATCCCCTTTAAAGTTAAGGGGAACAGGAGGAGGAATAGACCCTCTTGGCTTAAGTGTGATCTTCTGAGTCTGCGCAAAACCAAAATGTTCGCTTTTCCATTGTCCATACTAACAATGGAAAAGTGAACAAATAAACACAAAGAACTACAACGGCATTGCCAGGATGTGCAGAGATGCACTTAGAAAAGCAAAAGCTTGAGCTCAAATTGGCTAGAGAAAGGCCTACAAAAACAGACCTCTAAGAAAGGGTTTGTCAGTGTCCTGGGTTCAGCTACAGCAGTCATTTTTTCTCCTTCTTAGTAGCTGGTGCAGTGCTGTGTTTTTGATTTTCAGCCTGGGTACAACGCTGATAACACCGTTGTTTTTAGTTGTTGCCAAGTGGTGTTTACTCTGACCAAGGACTTTCTCAGTCTCATGCTCTGACAGGGAGGAGGGGAAGCCGGGAGGAAGCAGAGACAGGACGCCTGACCCAAACTGGCCAAAGGGGTATTCCATACCACAGCACGTCATGCCCAGTATAGAAACTGGGGAGATTTTGGAGAGTTACCCAGAGGGTCCAGATCGTTGCTCGGATCGGGCTGGGTATCGGTGGGTGGTGAGCGGTTGTGTCCTCTCCCCTTGTTATTTCCCTTATCATTATTATTGGTAGCAGTAGTGGTTTGTATTATACCTTAGTTACTGGAGTGCTGTCATCTCAACTGGTGGGAGTTACATTCCTCTGATTCTCCTCCCCATTCCTCTGGGAGCGGGGGGAGGAAGGAGGTGGGGGAGTGAACAAGCTGCTGCGTGGTTCCTGGTTGCCGGCTGGGCTTGAACCACGACAGTCAGGTATGTAAAAACAAGCAGGAACACATGAAAATATTGTCCCACTGTTAAATAGGAGAGGTAAATTAGTAATGAATACTGAAAAGGCAAATGTTCTTGTCGTGGTTCAAACCCAGCCGGCAACTTGGAACCACGCAGCCGCTCGCTCACCCCCCCCCTTTTCCTTCCTCCCCCCGCTCCCGGAGGGATGGGGAGGAGAATCGAAGGAATGTAACTCCCACGAGTTGAGATAACAGCTCTCCAGTAACTAAGGTATAATACAAACCACTACTGCTACCAGTAATAATGATAAGAGGAATAACAAGGGAAAAGGACACAACCGCTCACCACCCGCCGACCGATACCCAGCCCGACCCGAGCAGCGATCTGGGCCTTCCGGGTAACTCTCCCCAGTTTATATACTGGGCATGACGTGCTGTGGTATGGAATACCCCTTTGGCCAGTTTGGGTCAGGTGTCCTGCCTCTGCTTCCTCCTGGCTTCCCCTCCTCTCTGGCAAAGCATGAGACTGAGAAAGTCCTTGGTCAGAGTAAACATTACTTAGCAACAACTTAAAAACATCGGTGTTATCAGCGTTGTTCCCAGACTGAAAGTCAAAAACACAGCACTGCACCAGCTACTAAGAAGGAGAAAAAATGACTGCTGTAGCTGAACCCAGGACAGTTCTCAACACTTAACTTCACCTCTGTGTTTACCAGCACTGTTGAGGCTCAGGCCTTGGGATCCAAAATCCAGGTTGATGCAAAGGCATCACCAGCAGAGATAAAGGAGTCATTATTCCATGCTTATCAGGCCACATGTGGAATACTGTGTTCAGTTTTGGCCTCCACTATACAGAAAAGGTGTGGTCAGGCTGGAGAGTGTCCAGAGAAGGGCCACAAAGATAGTCAGAAGACTGGGAAGCCTGTCATGTGAGAAAAGGCTGAGAGAACTGGGTTTGTTTAGCTCTGAGAAAAAGAAGGCTTAGGGGAGACCTTATCACCATGTTCCAGTATTTAAAAGGTGGCTACAAAGAAGATGGAGGCTTCCTTTTTACAAGGAGTCACATGGAAAAGACAAGGGGTCATGGGTACAAGTTATTCCTGGGGAGTTTCCACCTGGACACAAGGGGAAAATTTTTCACAGTGAGAACAGTCAGCCATTGTGAAAGTCTCTCCAGGGAACTGGTGGGTTCCTCAAAATTGTATACTTTGAAGATTCATCTGGACAGGCTCTTGAGACACCTTGCTAGACTGTGGCTTTGCCAAGGAATGTTGCACCAGATGATCGTTGACATTCCTTTCAACCTGGTATTCTGTGATTCTGGTACAACCCAGTGCCTGCATTTTTTGGGCAATTTGAAAAGTTTCAGCCTGTACCACCAAAGAATTGATTTTTGAAGCTTCCGCTAAAACACAGTGCTTCCTGTATATTTTTTTATTGAAAAACAGTCATCCCTCTGAGGTCTAGGAGGTAAAGATGACACTACATTATTATTACAAAAATTATTAAGAGTTTACGATATAATGTTACTGATAAAGTAATCTATTTTTAGCAAACTCATCCTTGAATTCTTACTTTCTGTGCAGACTGCATCCTCAGCTATTAAAGGTGCTATCCAGCTGGGAATAGGATACACAGTGGGAAACCTTACATCAAAACCGGACAGAGATGTTCTTATGCAAGACTTCTATGTAGTGGAAAGTGTCTTTCTACCAAGGTAAGAACAAGCCTATTCATTTTATTTTCAATAGAATTTCATAATTAAACTCTAACCAGATATTTCAAACAAAGGTTATTTTCCAGTGGTAATGAAACAGGGCTGGAGTAAAATCCATGTATTATAAATTGAACATTATCCTGTTCATGGCATCATTGAAAATAGAGGCAGGTAGAAAACCGGCAAGATCACATTTCAACTGAAGATTTGAGACTTGTCACTTCTGGAGAAGGAAAGCAATTGTGATGTTTTCAATTAAGGAGCTGTTAATTACAATTGGAAGTGATTTGTGGGTCTACAGGCAATTAAGTATTATGCCCAGCACTCACATGTTTGTTTAATTTCTAAAAACTTAGAATAATACTTGCCATTTTGTTGAGGTGTTGTAAAAATTTATGAAAATTCAAGTCCTGCAGTGTTAAGAGTAATATAAGAATTTACACTATATTATAACATTATAGCCAGGACTTTAGCTTGTAATTCAGCTTTTACTAGCTGTCTACAGGTTGTGCAGAATTACTGCTTTGCATTTGTCCACCCCAGTTTGTATCACTGCCAAGTTAATGGTATAATCAGTACTGCTGATGAGAGAAAACAAGGTCTGTACTCATTTTGGGTGTTCAGAAGCTGAAGTATAGTGCTGTGTAACTTTTCAAGTTACATACTCTAGGAATGGATAAAGAAAGCTTAGGAAAAATAGATCTTAAAACCAGGATGGCTTGCTTTGTTCAGTATTATCTGGGTCCTTAAAAGTGCTGAGTTCCAGTAATGCCCAACATTTCTGTAAGGACATGTGATGTATGGAATATTCCTTAAATTTTTTTAAGGCTTTGTATGATTTTTTTATAAGTTTTGTTCATGTGCAGTTTATGAATGCTATTTCATAAACTGTTTCTAATAATTTACAATCATTAAAAATCACCAATGTTGCTAAAACAAAGTTAAACTGACAATGTACAAAATAATTGCAGGCTCGTTAAAGTTGATCTCTCCTCACATGAATTTGCTTGATACATCTCGTTTTCCTCTGAACTTAGGTATCCTTTAAGGAGAAGAAAATTTATTTCTTACATAAAATAAAGCTTTTACATTACATTCCTTAGTTCCTAGTAATAGAGAGTATTCAAATACTTGTTCTAATGTTAACCATAAGGTTTGCATGCAGTTTTTCAGTCTTTCTCTTTATTATTGGGTGAATATAGAGAAATTAACTATATGCATGTGTTTTCATACACCGTAGTCACAAAACTTTGTTTACAAAAAATCCAAATTACAACTGAGAAATGTGCATATCGTAACAGTTTTTATTGGTTTGAAAAATGGAGTTAAAAGGAAGTGAGCCATCATACTTGTGAAATGTGTGACTGACAATGATGCAGGCTTCTGTAGTTGGTTTGGCTGCATATCAGCTTCGTTCAGGGAAATTAAATGAAGCATACATGCTAAAATTGTTTAATTACATAGAACAGTTTTGGAAAAAAAGAATTATATCTTTTTTAACATTATTTTAAAGCAACAAGTAAAATGAAGTGGTCTGTAGTCCATTGCATATGTTTTCTGTGAAACTTATCTGCATGTACACTCAGAAATTAGATTTCCCTGTTTTGTGCTGCTTTTAAGGGAAAGTTGAGAGAGATCCTTTCTGGCTTAAAAAGAAAACAAA